AAATACTTTTGTCAAATAATGATTTGCATCTATTTTCACAGTATTAATTAGCATTCAAATCTTTAGGTGTCTCAGTACACTGTCAGGCATCAATACTGTCGATACACTGTTAGGGGTCTCAATACACTGTCAAGCAATATAGGTTAAATATATCAAATATAATTTTCAAGTTTATATGTACTATGGAAGTCATTTACAAAAAATATGCAGTGAGTTTTACAAGTGAATGTTTCATTAGAAAACATTTAATTGTCGCTAATAAAACATCTTGCCAAACTCAATATAAACATTTTGATACAAAATGCATGGCATTTGTGAAATAGCATACCAAAAGTACAGTGCACTTTACAAATAAAATGGGCATTTTTGGGCTGTGTGCATGTTGCCACTAGAAGGAAATATTCATGTGAATTGATGGGAGTGCGGTTACTTCCTGTTCTTCTAAGGGTGAACTTGAGTAAAACTTGATCACAAGCACAACATGGTAGACAACTTATAATGATCCTTTTTAATGGCATTAATAGCTGCACATTTTGGGTTCAAGGTTTAAACAACGAATGTTAATATGCACATACCATCTGACCCTCACATGCTCCAGTTCTTAAATTTTACAGTAAATATCTTCCTTTAATCACCTCCATATGCCCAAACATCATTAAATATACCACCCATCCATCTAGTACCAACATCATAATGCATGTATACTGACAATGCAATTTCATATTAATGAGTGTCCATGGGGAAAGACAGGAAATTATGTGAATGTATTATGAGGGCATCAAGATATATTAGTAAAATCATTATTAGTTTTACAAATATGTGTACCTTTTTAAGCTGGGTAGGAAGGCAGCAGGATACAGAACATTCAATGTAATTTTCCCATTTTCTTTAAGTGTTCTATATGGTTACCCTCCCTCGTTAAGAGATAAATTGACAGGAGGGATCAGTTTGCACAGAGACACAATATAAAAAAATCATGAAAAGAATGTAAATAAACTTAGTTTTGCATCCCATTTTTGAAAACCAAAATTCTTCATTAAGTTTCATAGCACTACTTAAAAATAAATTCAATATGTACAGGAAACAGTTTTATCAGTTAGGTTCAGTGGCATCACTAGGGGTGTGTGAACTGCACCAGTTGACACCATCAGTGGAGGGTGACTCCAAAATGACTACAAAATTTTTGAACTTTTGTGCAGGAAGGAGGTCCATGGGGGTTACACCATGAGTTACCACACATGACATTAAAATTACCATACTGGGTAAAACCAATTCTAGTGATGCCACTGATTAGGTTACACAGCAGCTTTAAAAATCTTTCCCACACCCTGGAGGGAGTCACCCATGAATGGTCTAATAGTATCGTTAGGTTAGGCATGGAAAACTACATAGGTGCTATGGAGTTTAGACCAAGAAGTTGGTTCTGTGCATTTATTTTAATTTTTCTCAAAAAACTAAAGAAAAAATGCAAAAGAGGTTAGTGGTCTGCTATGAAGTTATGAAACTATCTATATAAGCAAAGCGGATTTTGTGTAAAGAAAAAGTTATTTATTATCTAAACTTTATTTACAGTCTCGTTAGTGTCAGTAATTCCTTTCTCAGACTAATGTATGTGTTTACTGAAAGTCAGCCTATGAAATTGCTTAATTTTCCCCCTCAATGTTCTCATATAATCATGTCAAATACGTTACTAGAAGAAAATAAAAATATTTGATTAATTCAAAACTCAATTGAAGCAGTGATAAACATTTACTAGGAAAAAAGTACATATAACTTATAACCTTTTTTTTTAATCCATATATACATATTGATTATGTACAGCGTATTCCGCAGCCGGCACTCTTCTACCAGTTTTGTACAAGCTGCGTGATACCATATGACGTAACTTGAAGCTTTGCAGAAAGAAAGGTCAGATTGGGAAAGAATAAAAAAAAAAATTTAAAAAAGAGGATTGCCTGGGCTTATTTGCATAAATTATGCATACGACCTACTTCTCACGTTTGCTGCATATGCGAAAGGACAAAGGTCGAAACTGATCAATATTACTCCGTTTCATCCCAAATTTATTATGAAATAAAATTAACCACCTTAGTTCTATTAACATGACTGTTCAACACAGTTGATTTTCTTTTGTAAGCGAATAATCAATCAAATTAACGGCATGACTAAAACAACATAACACAGAATAAAAGTCAGTATACTTGACCGTAACACAGAGACAAACACTCAAAGGTCATGCACCCTTACTTCGCCATGTGCCAGAAAGCGATGATTGTTTACTTACCAAAGCTAACCTTCCGTGGTAAATGTCAAATAATATCCAGCTGAATTTAGCCCACAAGTCAACATAATTAACAACTGTCGCAAGCTTGTAACATTCATCGAGCTTACTATATCCTGTCTACTGCCATTTTCAACCAAATGAAAAGCTCGAAGCAGGCAGATTCACTTATGGCGGACAGATAATCCTTCCAGAATTTGTAGTCATGCATTTTAAACAATATGAAAATAACCCATTTTTCCTATTTTGTTTTGTAAACTTGCTTTTACAAACGGTTCAGTATACCTACCACGTAAAATTTAGTTCTTCCGTGTTAAACAGTGTGCTTTTTTCGCCAGACTCTGAATAAAGGTCAGAGGTTGTGACCTTCTTTCCAAGCTTAACAGAAAAGCGCCAATTTGATTAGTTGATTAGATTAATCACGTGACAGAGTGGTGCCTGTTTACAGCGGAGAACAATTTGCATGGGTACTGTTGAAGTTACTTCTTTCATTTATTTATTTTTTTGTTTAAATTGTTTTTCGTTAAGTTTGAAAGAGAGAACTTGCATTTTTTTGCATCAATTTATGTGCGCCATTTGAGGAGGATTTATGATTTTTTTTTCATGCTCGTTCACAGCAAAACAAGCGTTTCTCGTTTGCATGAATGCAAACTGCAGTAAAGTACGGACAAGATGACAGTTTAAAATACATTATTTTGAACAGATTTTTTTATTTAAAAAAAAACAGAAAAGGGGTTGAACATGTAAAATAATAATAATAATAATAATAATAATAATAATAATAATAATAATAATAATAATAATAAACTAGCAATAACAGCTTTGAGTTTACCTCAATTGCAAACTTTGCAATTGCAACGCTTAGATGCGCAATTTCCTAGTTATTTTATTGGGGTTTTTTGTTTTTATTTTTAACGCGAAATGGAACATAGAAATGCGGAAACAAATCATACAAATAGTCTTTTATTTAATAGTTTTTGTGTCTGCCATATTTGCAAGGACAATTCTGTCTTAAAGCAACAGCTGTGGTATAGTTCACCGTCTTTTGTATAGTTCACCGTCTTTGGATAAACACACTCGTTCCGTAAGCTTTGGAGTTAAAATATCTTCTGGAAACATGTATAAACGTTTTTGTGTTTTTTAAAGGAAATGTTTGACCAAAAATTAATTTCAAGCATTCGACGCAGACGACACACACAAAAAAAAACTGGTTTTGAAATTAAAAAAACATGGCGATCAGTCTCATCTGTTTACGTGAGCTTCCGTTTGTTTTGAAACGCCAATAAATTAGCAGTGGTATGGCCCCCACCCCACCAACCCCTCTGGCCACATTGAGAGGAGGGTGAGGGTACAAACTAGAGGGTGTGTAAATACTTCAGAAAATCGGCGTACTAAATGCTGCACTGGCAATTAATAGTTGCTGATCCTTAAATTAGTAAAACTGTTTACTCTAAAATCAATACTTTAAAAAAATGTAATAGTTTAAGTTATAAACATTTAAATCAGGTATTTTTCTAGCTGATAAAAGCCTAAATTGATAATGTAAAATGTAATTTCAGCTTACAAAATTGAATCATGTCAAAGTGAATATTGGCTGGCCAAATCAAATTATAAAATAAAAAAAAATGCTTTTATTTATTATTTGAAATGAAGCCAGTTTGTTATAAATATACATTTCTAAATAAGCAATAATTAAATTAATTACGGATATAATTCCATTTTATATGCAGAAATTCCATTTCATATTAAATAAGTTGGACTTATTATCTTAATGTCAATTGTTTAATAATTTGCCTTTTAGTTGATAAAGAATGTTAATCTAAAATTAATAAAGATATTTAGTAAGGGTAAAAAACATGAAACTTTCTTTACTTAGTTGCAAATTATACATGTATTCAGGTTTATTTTTTTGAGAAAGTGAACAGTATGGAATATTGGCATGTGTAATGGAATTAAAATGTTTTTTGAAATTTTAATAACATAAGTATTGTGTTTTCTTTATAATCTAGATATTTGAAAAGTTCACATTTTTGATAATTACTTCACATATTATGAAATTACAATTGTTACAGGGAGTTTTGACGTAACAAATGTATAACAGAAATAATGAAAACATTTTCTAAAGTTTATGATTTGACTGATTGACTAACTCAAGAAAATCAAAGTCTATCAATTGTTACTCCTTCATTTGTCAAGTCAGTTTTCCAGTTTGCTACACAATTGCAACTTGATTAAAAGTGAGCACTATTTTATTTTAACTTAAACAGTTAGCTATTGTTAACATTCATTTTGGTAAAATATTATTAATAACAGGAATAATTAAAAAATGTATGCTTTACAATTCCATTTCACATGACTTAAAATTTTGCACAAAAAAACATAAAAGTTTGTTTCTTTCAATATCTGGTACATTTTATTTGTAAGTGATTTAAATAATACATTCTTTTATTTAAAAATTTTTCTTTTTTAGAATTTGTGTGTGTGTGATTTAATTTTTTAATTTAATTTAACAATTTTTCAGTCATATAAATATGATGTCTGCAGTATGACAGTTTATAGTGATGTCTAGTACTGGGGCATCATGCTGCAGACATGTGGCATCCTTTCCCACCTAGTCACATTATCCTGACACCAGGCCAACATGTCCTAACACTAACCTCATAATGCTGATCACCAAGTGAGGCAGTTATTAGTACCACTTTTTTAAAGTCTTTGGTACGACTCGGCTGGAGTTCAAACTAACAACCTCCCACATCCGAGGCGGATGCTCTAACCACTAGGCCACTGGAGCAGTTCTTAGAATGTAATTAAGCGAGGAAATATGATAACAATGTCACAAAAAGGTCTTACAAATCTGTATATAGCATGATGAAAGATGACTATTGAAAAAATTTCTTTTCAAAATAATAAATAATTTAATAATGGTCAATATGATTGAATTACAAGGTTTTTATAAAAATGTATATTAAGAAAGGAAAGGAAAAATTCAGTTATACATAAAACTTCCACTTTGCTCCATTTTGTAAAATAATTCTATTGTGCATTTTAGTCTAACGTGATACATATCAAACTATTTTGGTCAGGAAACAAACTAAGTTCATCACTTCCAAACTCAGGTGCTTATAAAATTTTAGTATATCAAGGTAGTTTGTTTGTTCTTCTTAAGCAGCATAATAGATGACATTTGTGTCTGTAGCTTTCAGTGAAAACAAATGTAGATTAAACTGCCTTTTTTAATTAACAAGTGAATAATTTCAACCAATACATTGTCTAAGATTGATAAAACTCATTGAGTATTGGGTTCAGACATGTAAAATAATTATTTAAAAATTATCAGTAACAGAGCTTAAAATTACAGGCAAAGAGACCTAGTCTCCATTATCTAGTTGTCATTGTTATGAGTCTATACTCTTGAAATAAGCAACAAAAAAAGAACAAAGACAACAAGCTTTATAAAATTTATCAAATAATTTATTTCCCTAGAATGCAACATGAAAACTCAAGAGAAAAGAACTTTAAGAATTAAATGCAAACATAAGCCAAGAAATAAAAATAGAAGACCTAGAAATAAAAAGTCCTGAGTGAAACTGATTTTGAGTCCCGATGAAATCCAAAATGGAAGGTGATGATATCTGTTGTGGTCAGCGAAGTGCTGCTATGTCAACAGTCCTAAGTTGGATCACAGAAAATATTATTCTAGTTTGAATTCAGTATAATTTCCAATAAATGTCTTTATTGAAGAATTTTGTCAGAGCAAATCTCCAGGAAAGGTATCACTTGATTTCAATAATTTGAAGAAAGTAAAAATTCTACCCAAACTGGTTACAACATAAGAAGTTTCTACAAATGGATATATGATACTTGTCACATAGTCAAGGTATGGCCTTGATTCACATTGAATGAATTGTGATTTTTTTTTTCGCATGAAAATGGGCTAGCTATGCAATAGCAGTAAAGTATTACATAAGTAAATTTAGTTTTATCCCCCCAAAACATTTAAAATCCCACCCAGGATAGTTTATATTCAATGAAAGAGGATGAATTGCTTGAGCATGTCAGACATTGTGATCTTGTTGAAGTTAAAGCATCTTTTACAAAGCAGGTAATAAATAATATTTTGATTCAGTATTTGGTGAGAAAGGAAATTTTGGATAATAGTAAATTGGGTTTGATTGGCAAGACTCTATCTGGTTTTGGTAGGAAGATAAAGAAATTAAAGTAGAAAAACCCAGATGGAATTGGAATTAAGACAGATTCAGAAAAAAAAAATGGAAATGCAAAATCAGAGAGAGGAACCAGAGAGGGAAATACAAATGCAAATTCAGAGAGAGAGAGAGAATACAGAGTTATGACTCTGGTCACAAATTAAGTAACAGAAAGAAGCAAAGCCAAGAAGTTTTGTCAAACTTAACAAATAATTTAAATATCTAAGTTATAAATGAAAATGTGAGAGGAACTTATATTATGAAGTGAATCCAAAATAGTCTTGATAAGGCTCTATAAAAGTCCAAACAAATGAAAAGTTAACTATATAAATTTCAAAACCAGAAATGTACTTGTCCATCAAGAATCATGACATTGTCAAGATGGTAGAACTCTTGAATAATTAACAACATTTCCAGAATAATATTATGGTCCAAATAATGAACACTATTTCCACTGAACAGTTCAAACATAATTTCTTCTTGAATAATTTCCAAGTACAACATAAAACTCTGCATACTTAAAACAGGAAGATAAGAAATTAGGATGACTCCAAAATAGGAATGAAGCTGACTACTCCATTCTCTCCTTATATACATCTTCTATTTATAACTATGTTTCATGAGATATTCTACATGACAGCCCTTACTACTCAATTTATCTCGAAAGTTGCCTATTCATATGAATGGGATGTTACTGAATTCTTCTAGATCCATCCAAATTCCATCAGCCTATGAGAAATTAACTCAAAGACATCATTAAGTCTTATTATTAAGATTATCAATTTTAGTAATTGTCAACACATATGTAAGCATTTATTTATAGATTCTATGTACTTTTATACTCAGACCCTAGTCACACTGGCAAAAATCTAACTAAAAAGCTTCTGTACATTTTTTCAGACATGAATAAAAACTACAAAATTTAAACAAAAATAATGAAGGAGCTAAAAATAGACATACCAGTACATAACAAAGAAATGCAGATTCAGAGAGAGAGGGAGAGATTCAATGTTAATTAAAAAAATAGAAACTGACTGGTTAGCACTACCTCCTCCCACCAATACAAACATGTTCAGGTTTTTATATTATACTGCATTTACTATCCAACTAGAATCATGAAACATGGTGATGGGATGCATCTTGATTACTAAACCCTAATTACAGTAAAGAGATCTCTTTGATTTTAATGAAACTTGTGTTAGGTTAAATTTTCTTGTACTGTTCTTGATGGAATAATGAAACTTGATTGTTGGTGTATATTAATGCCACACCCATGCAACAAAAGATCATTATGATCTATATTTTGTTTCACTGGTTTTATTTAGGTCTCTATGTTTAGCACATGATCACAACAGCTTTTTTAAGATATATGCAGTTAATACTAAGCTAAATACTTGTAACAAAAAGTGGTCTCAGTGACCTACATTTCAAATTTAAGTGATTTTGTTGTAATTGTATGTTTAAAGTTGAAGTTTAAAGTTCATTTCTTAGGCACTGTTCAGGGGAGGGAGAAATGTCTTGATAATGGTACCAAACCATAAGAACAGAATAGGCCTCTGACACACATGTTTTAGTGGTAGTGAGTTTGTTTTTGTGGCTGCTAAACAGTGTTTTTATGCACACTTATAATAATCCCTACCTAAAATTATGAAACTTACTGAGTTGATCCACCACACTCTTACCATAAAATTAGGTTATTGTGACCATGTTTAGGCTTCATTTATTATAGTTAAAGTAATTTTCTACAAAATCACAAAATCTTATACTTTAAATGGTAAATTCACTACATTAATGCTCAAATGAAAAAGTTATATTACTTCCACATTCATTGTATTCTTTAACTGCTGAATTAAGTTATTAAGTTTGCAATGTCAGAAGGTAATTTCTAAATTTTACTTGACACTGATGATAGAATCTTAGGATTTCTGATTAATTTGCTTCTTTTCCTATTTAATGTTATGGATCTGGATCTGTGTGATTTCTTTGCTACTTCTGGCATGTACACAAGGAGAGAGTTCCATGAGTAAGACTGTGTTATGGTGGCTCAAAACTATCCAAAGATGGAGAAAGAAGCATACCAACATGCATTTTATTCCACTAGAAAATGTTCTTGCAAAGACTTAATATTGATCAGCTTTTTCTTGTATGGTTTTAAAACACTGTGAGGTATTTTGTTATTAATTTGTCCTCAATATTTGTCAGTGTAAAGGAGCAATATTTTAGTTACATGAATACTGCAACAGCATAAAATAGTTTTTCTGTTTCACTTTATTCCATTTACTTAGTTATTTTAATTTTTTTACTATGTACAATTGTGTTTTGCTTAGCCACCCTTGTAATGAAGTTGAATATTATTACTTGATATGTATGATGGTAATGAACTCCAGGCATTATTACAAAACAAATAATAAACATGTCTTTAACCTCAGGCTACTTTGCTACAAATAGGAAATATGTATATGACCTCAAATCAGATCAAATGGTAATTGGAATTAACCTCATTGTGACCTCTGTTCTGCCTGGTTACTCACACAGTTGATGCTTGTGTCCTGTTGTTCACATTGGACTAGCACATCAGTGAATCCAACAGATCTGTTAAGGGGATGTCCATTAAGGACCTCCACAGATAATACCTGTTTTCCTACCCAATCTTCCCTTGTCCACTTTTGTCGGAATGTGGCTTATTCCACACACACACAGCTCCGATGGTTGGCTGCGGATGTCCCCATCTAGCATTATACGCTGCTCTTCGGTCTGGCAGTGTAATAGCAGGTGCTCTCAAAATACAAGGCTCACTGATCTCATCACAACATGTAGCTCAAAACAGAACAAAAATAAAAAGAAAGCACTTTCTTAAAATAGTCTTTGTTTAGGGCATCTGCAAAACACACTGGAATACACACAGTAGGCCTAAAGCAGCTGTTCAACACAGAATATCATAACAAAGTATGCTTGCTTATGTTTGCATGGTCCTTTACACCCCTTTCCCCATTGTCTGCAGTTGTTCACATTTGAACATCCCCCCCCACCGTCTTTGTGGATGTCCTGTATGGATGATCCCTAAGACATTTTAATACTGCTTAGGTCTGTCAGCCTTATTATTAACTTTGAGAGATTGGAATGGATTTTATTGAGATGGAGAATGTGTTTATCTGTTACATCTCCAGCTTCAGACAAAAATTTAAGTCACAGTACATCTTATGATAATTTCTGGTCAGTTCTGGTGGCCATATGAGCTTATGGTATAACCCTGCATCTGCTGTCTAACTGTTATGCATCCATCAATGGTTGCTTGTTACCACAATTGAGGATGTTTCAATCTAATTTTGATTGAACTTCAAATATACATGTACAGGTTATCTGTATTACCTGAGGGCCTCAAGGTAGATTAGTTCTTCAGCTAATTGTGTTACCATCTTTAAATAAAGCGATTATTGTTATTATTAGTAGTAGTAATAGTAAAGTAACCTGGTTTGTTATTAGTTCAGTTGTGGTTGTTGTTGGGCTTAACGCCATTTTTCAGCACACGATAGGCTATTCATGGCAGCCAGTATTAATGGTGGAGGAAGAAACCAGGAGAGAACCA